GCCTTGCTCTTCAACACCTAGCAATACCAGCCACTCAAGTTACCAGTAAGAGATTATTTTCAACGGCTGGCCAAATTGTCACAGATAGAAGGACATTGCTCTTACCTGAACATGTTGAACAATTATTATTTTTAAAAGATTACTATAAATTTATATTGAAAATGGAAGAAATAGAAGACAACTCAAAACCAGACGATTAATAATTAATATTTAAATATTAAAAATATCTAACTCTAATCATTTTTATATGTATTTAATAATTAATATTTATTATTTTAATATTTTATTATTAATATGTAATATATAATATATGTATAACTATTTAGGTTTTTTTTTTCATGATAATAAATAATAAATAATAATTAATAATAAATAAAGCCAAATCTTATTTAATTAAAAAAATATTTAATTTATTTCTATATTTATTGGCTATATTATATACTAAATACCAAAATATAAACTAATATTATAGTAACTATAGTAACCTAAAAATCAATTGCTGCATGTATGAATCTTTGAAAGATCATTGAGAACGGATATACCGACTTGGGTGATTTTTTTTTTAATATTCCGGAACTGTCTAATACTCAACTCTTTTTTCGAGTACCGTAAAACCGGGTGAATAGAAACAGTGGGGTAAATAGAAACAAAAACAGGAAAATTATTATTTCTTCGTCTCTATAATCAAATATTTGTGTTATCAATATGCAACCTTCACTAAACCGAATATACACTAGTACGAAATTCGATAAGCTAGAAACGTTCCATTTATGTTTCCCTCCATGCACGTGAAATTGATAACAAACATGTACTATTTCTTATCAAAAAAAAAACGTAAAATACAAACTCACTGTTTGTCATGAAATAATAACCTAACCGTTCACTTACACATTTTATTTGTTCGAGCTAGATGTCAGGAGTCGAAAATTGTAAGTATAATAATTTTAAATTCATTATTTTTTTTTTTTATTACACATTTTATAAAATATCTCTTTTTGAGGGTGAATAGAAACAATCATGGGCCGTATTAAAAAAAAAGATCCAAGAGCCAAAAAATATCAGATTCCCAATCCAAATGATTTAGAATCGGCCATTAGCTGCATAAAGGCACGACAAATGACCTATAGAGAAGCTAGTGAAGTATATGGTATACATTATTCAGTACTTTTCCGCCATGTCAAAAATTCGAACATGAAGGCACAAGGTGGACAAACTGCACTTTCCACTGAAGAAGAAAATCATATAGTATCATGCCTGTCTCTTTGTGCAGAATGGGGCTATCCATTAGATAGGTATGATATTAGAATGGTGGTGAAAGGATACCTGGATCGACGTGGTAAAAAGGTGAGACAATTCAATAAAAACAATTTGCCTGGAAAGGATTGGGCAAATGGTTTTCTGACTAGGCACAAAACAAAACTTGCACTCAGATTATGTCAAAATATAAAACGTTCTAGGGCAGCTATTACTAGAGAAACATTAAATGATTACTTTGACAACCTGGAGATTTCTATAGATGGTATTCCTCCTAGTCATATTGTTAACTACGATGAAACCAATCTAACCGATGACCCGGGTACACGTAAAGTAATTACAAAGCGTGGATCGAAATACCCCGAACGTGTTATGAATAACAGTAAAGCTTCTACTTCTGTAATGTTCGCTGCTGCAGCTGATGGAGTACTCTTACCTCCATATGTTGTATATAGATCAAAACATATAAGTGATACATGGAGAATTGGTGGTCCTAAACATACCCGTTTTAATCGCACAAAATCTGGTTGGTTTGACAGTTTTTGTTTTGATGATTGGATCAAAACTATTGCTATTCCATATTTGTCTAAACTTTCTGGGACAAAAATATTAATTGGTGATAATTTGTCAAGTCATCTTTCGACTGAATCAATTAAAATTTGCCAAAAATATAATATTAAGTTTGTATTCCTACCTACCAATTCCACCCATCTAACTCAACCGCTTGATGTGGCCTTTTTTAGACCACTGAAAATGCACTGGAGAAGTATTTTAGAAAATTGGAAAAAAACTGATGGTGCTCATGAAATATGTATTCCTAAGGATCATTTTCCAATGTTATTGAAACGGCTTGTACTAAAACTCAATGAAAATAGTGTAAATAATATAAAAGCTGGTTTTGAAAAATGTGGTATTGTGCCATTTAACAGAGATAGAGTCCTATCTATGTCGCCGTATGATAGCTGTGATGTTAATCAAAGTGGAGATAGCATAAATAGTTCAGTTTTAGAGTTCTTAAAAAGTATGAGGTCAAGTAACAGTACACCAAGAAAAACTAAAAAAAGATTACAGGTAGAACCAGGGAAAAGTGTTGAAACTGTGTCAGATACTGATAGTGACTCAGAACTAATAACAGAATTACCTCATGAAAGTTCATCAGATGCAGACGAACCTGAAATGTCAATAAGTAATGTTCTTCATACTACTTCAGAACCTCAGGTAGTGAAACATGGCATAACATTTAAAAATGTAATCCCTATATACAAAGAAAATGAAGTAAACGTTGATGACTGGGTATTAGTATCTTTCCAACTCGACAATCTGAAGCAATCATCTAGTAAAGATATGGTATACATGTATTATATTGGACAAATCATTAAACAATTAGATGGATCTACATTTGAAGGCACATTTTTAAGAAGCAAGACCACAAAACTGTTTAAAGGCTTTGTGTATGGGTTTCCAAATGTTAAAGATATTTGTGAGTTTGATAGATCCCAAATTATTGGAAAAATGCAAAAACCAGTACCATATTGCAGAGGGCTTTTCAAGTTCAATTTTAACTGTAACTCCATATAGTCTTCTAATTATTTACTTTTAACAATTAATAGTTTAAAGTATTAACTAATTAATTATGTTTGTTGCCTACTGTTTAATATAAAAAAGTAAATCCAAAGACTGGAAATTAAAAGACTAAAATGTTAATTTAATTTTTATTTTTTCATATGATGTATTTATATACATTTTGTTACATTTACATTTACCCATATTAATTATAAGAATTATGTTTATGTTTGTAACCTATTATTATAAGTGATAAGTAGGGCTCGGAACTTATTGAATTTGCATATTTTTATTGAATACTCCAATAAATTGCTAAGTAAGACAGAAATTTGTTTTGAGTTGTAACTAATTTAAAAACACCAAATAAAAATTGCATATTTTTGCATATATTGAGGTTTTAATGAAAACACGCATTTTTTCTCAATAAATGCATATTACATACATATTTATAAATTGTATGCATGTTATATGCTATATTTTAAGTTCGACGTAGAATATTTCTTATAATAACTTATTACTTATTAATGTTATATTTTTCTGTGCACAATTATTATCGATTAACGTCATTAAAGTCAAAACGTCTAACGTCAAATAAAGATAAGATATTTGAAGAGAACATTCTGGTTTTTTTTTAAAAATAGTTTCCTGTACAGCTCGTTGTTATTTGTTACTCCATTAGCTATA